CCACATCCCCACCCCCACCCTGAGCACCAAACGGGAGCTCCTGCACCACCACCCCCACACACATTCCCGCCTGCACCCCCGGTCTGGGGTCCCGGCTGCTGGGCCCTTGCCAGCTGGGGTTCCGCAGGCCCCGCTCAGCCCACTGCCGAACTAGGTGAATGGAACCCCAGGCCGGCAGCGGGCTGAGTGGGCTGGTGGCGTAAGATCAGCGTTTTAATTTAATTTTAAATTAAGCTTCTTAAACATTTTGAAAACCTTGTTTACTTTACATACAATAGTTTAGTTTATATAATATAGACTTATAGAGAGAGACCTTCTAAAAATCGGCACGCAAAACCTTAAGTTAAAGTGAGTAAGTGAAGACTTGGCACACCACTTCTGAAAGGTTGCCGACCCCTGCTCTGGATGAAATACAGACCTGCAGCTGGGCGGTTTGTGGTCCCTGATTTCTCGCGGGAGGATGGTGACAGCTGAAAAGCCCTGTGTTAACAATCCCGTTGTGCCTGGGGAACATCACCGTCCTGGTGGAGCCTCATCACGGAGAGAGGTCATCTCTGGAGCAGTCCAAGCCCATCTACTGCAGGCTTGGAGGACCAGGCTGTTAACAATGAGTCCTGGAGTGATGGGCTTTATGTTAAACGTATGCCACTTAACTGGTGAGCTGGTGTCTGCAGACCCAGCTGGAGGTCTTGCACGGCTGCATTTCCTCCTGGCACAGAGCACCACAGCAATCCAGCCTCAGTGCATGGACCAGTGGTGCCAACCCCACATCCCTCAGTCTGTTACTAGCTAGAGCTGTGAGAAGACATTTTAGCAGCTGTTGGGTTATCTGTCGCTCGTTAGGTATCTAGTTTGATGAACAGTCTGGAAGAACTCCAGGGCTGAGATCCATCTTGGCAAGCTGAGGCAGATGCCCTCAAGGGAAGGGGATGTTGTGGGGCTAGCTAGTTGTTCAAACTGATTTTTCCTTGACCCCTTGACTTCACTGCCATCTTGCCTGAGTTTTCATGGATTCGTAGGATTTTTTGTTTAATTTTAAGACCAGAAGGGATCCCTGTGATCATCTAGTCAGCCCGTGCGTGACACAGCATAGGACTTCCTTGGCTGATTCCCGCTTAGAGTCCACTAGCTGCCGTTGCAGGTCTTTTAGAAAAGGTATCTGGTCTTAATTAAATCCAGAACAGCCCTCGGTAAGGTTGTTCCAGGGGTTAATTACCCTCACTGGTAGCAATGCGCGTCTTATTTCTGCTGCGCGTGTGGCTAGCTTCATCTTCCAGCCATTGGATCTTGTTAGCACTTTGTCTGCTAGATTGGAGAACCCTCTCCTATTAGAAATCTCCGCCCCAGAGGTACCTGCCCTCTGTCATCAAGTCACCTCTTAACCTTCTCTTTGATAAGGAGGGATAGCTCAGTGGTTTGAGCATTGGCCTGCTAAACCCAGGGTTGTGAGTTCAATCCTTGAGGGGGCCATTTAGGGAACTGGGGTAAAAATCTGTCTGGGGATTGGTCCTGCTTTGAGCAGGGGGTTGGACTAGATGACCTTCTGAGGTCCCTTCCAACCCTGATATTCTATGATTCTATGATAAGGTAAATAAGAACATAAGAACGCAGGGATTTGGAGCAATCAAATTTTTGAATTGCTCTGCTCCGGCTCCGGGCAAAAATCTACTGGTCTGTGCTCCAGCTCCGGGCTCCGCTCCAAAGCCCTGTAAGAACGGCCACACTGGGTCAGACCAATGGTCCATCTAGCCCAGTATCCTGCCTCTGACAGTGATCAGTGCTAGATGCTTCAGAGGGAATTAACAGAACAGGGCAATTCACTGAGTGATCCATCCCCTGTCCTCCAGTCCCAGCATCTGGCAGTCGGAGGCCTAGGGACAACCAGAGCATGGGGTTGCATCCCTGGCCGTCTTGGCTAATAGTCATTGATAGGCCTGTCCTCCATGAACTTATCTCATTCTTTTTTGAACCCAGTTATACTTTTGGCCTTTACAAAATCCCCTGCCAATGAGTTCCCCGGGTTGACTGTCCGTTGTGTGGAGAAATACTTCCTAGCCAAAAACTCAAAAGGTAATAACAAAATGTTTAAGTACATCAGAAGCAGGAAGTCTGCTAAACAACCAGTGGGGCCCCTGACGATCGAGATACAAAAGGAGCGCTTAAAGACGATAAAGTCATTGCGGAGAAACTAAATGAATTCTTTGCTTCAGTCTTCACAGCTGAGGATGTGAGGCAGATTCCCAAACCTGAGCTGGCTTTTGTAGGTGACAAATCTGAGGAATTGTCACAGATTGAAGTGTTATTAAAGGAGGTTTTGGAATTAATTGATAAACTTAACAGTAACAAGTCACCGGGACCAGATGGCATTCACCCAAGAGTTCTGAAAGAATTCAAACGTGAAATTGCGGAACTATTAACTGTGGTTTGTAACCTGTCCTTTAAATCAGCTTCTGTACCCAATGACTGGAAGATAGCTAATGTAATGCCAATATTTAAAAAGGGCTCTAGAGGTGATCCTGGCAATTACAAACTGGTAAGTCTAACAGTCTGTTCACTTTTTTGACTGCTGCTGTACATTGAGCAGATGTTTTCAGAGAACTATCCATAAAGACTCCAAGATCTCTTTGAGTGGTAACAGCAATTTAGACTCCATCATTTTATATGTACAGTTGGGATAATGTTTTCCAATGTGCATCACTTTGCATTTATCAACACTGAATTTCATCTCCCATTTTCTTGCCCAGTCACCCAGTTTTGTGAGATCCCTTTGTAACTCTTCGCAATCTGCTTTGGACTTAGCTTTTTTGAGTAGTTTTATATCATCTGCAAACTTTGCCACCTCACCCCCTTTTCCAGAGCATTTATGACTAGGTCCCAGTACAGATCCTTGAGGGACCTAAGATCCCTGTGAGCTGCGTGGCCACACGGCCATGCAACAGGCTATCAAGGCCTGCACAGGCCTGCAGCCACAGGGCCTGGGCTGGAGAGGCGCCTCTCCCTTGGCCCCAGCAAGAGAGAGCTGGGGGGAGTCCTCTCTCCCCGCCACAGCCCTGGGGCAGCCTGCACCCCAAACCCCTCATCCCTGGTGCCACCACAGAGCCCTCACCCCCTGCACCCCAATCCTCTGCCCCAGCCCTGAGCCCCCTCTCACACTCCGAACCCCTTGGCCCCACCCCCACCACACATCACCTCCATATTGGTGCACATAACAAAATTAATTCTGCACATGGATGTAAAAAATTAGAGGGAACATTGTGGGGGACCCTGCTATTTATCTGTCTCCACTGTGAAATTTATTCCTACCCTTTGTTTTCTATCTTTTAACCATTACTGATCCATGAGAAGATCTTCCTTCTCATCCCATGACTGCTTAAGTCTTGGATGAGAGACTTTGTCAAAGGCTTTCTGAAAGTCCAGGTACACTATATCCGCTGGATCACCCTTGTCCACGTGCTTGTTGACCCCCTCAAAGAGATTGGTGAGGCATGATTTCCCTTTACAAAAGCCACATTGACTCTTCCCCAACATACCATGTCCATCACCTGTCTAATAATTCTGTTCTTTAGTATAGTTTCAACCAATTTTTCTGGTACTGAAGTCAGGCTTACCAGCCTGTAACTGCCAGGATCACCTCTGGAGCCTTTGTTAAAAATTGGTATCACATTAGCTATCCTCCAGTCATCTGGTGCAGATGCTGATTTAAGCAAGAGGACACATACCAGAGTTACTAGTTTTGCAGTTTCATCTTTGAGTTCCTTCAGAACCATTGGGTGACACCATCTGGGCCTGGTGACTTATTACTGTCTAATTTAACCGTTTATTCCAAAACTTCCTCTAGTGACACCTCAGTCTGGGACAGTTCCTAAAAAGAATGTCTCAGGTGTGCGAATCTCCCTTGTGTCCTAGATGGGGCTCCTCCAGTCTCTCACAGCAAGGGAGGTTTTCTAATCCTTTATTCAGTCTCGTGGTTCTTCTCTGAACCCTCTCCAATTTACCAACATCCTTCTGGAACTGGGGACACCAGAGCTGGACACACCAATGGCATCACGCCAGTGCCAAATACAGAGGTAATATAAGTTTGTTCATGTTTCCCAGGATCGCATTAGCCCTTTTGGCCACAGTGTTGCACTGGGAGCCCACATTCAGCTGATTATTCACTATGACCTTTGAGTCTTTCTCAGAGTCCCTGCTTCCCAGGATACAGTCCCCTGTCCTGTAAGTATGGCCTGTGTTCTTTCTTTCTGAGAGAGTCACATCTAGCTATATTGAAATGCATGTTGTTGATCTCTCTCTCAGTGACCTGTCCTCTTCCGCATTTACCATTCCTCCAATCTTTGTGTGACCTGCAAACTTTATCAGTGAGGATTTTATCTTCTAGGACATTGATACAAATATTAAATAGTGTAGGGCCAAGAACTAATCCTTGTGACTATGCCCTGTTCAACTGCATTTAGTGCAACTGCTGCTGGAAGACTGTTAGGGTTGGATGTTTGACAATTGGTCAATAGTGTCAAAAATGGTAAAATATTTTAAAGCACTAATTATTAGAACAGTAACAAAACCGAGTAAGAATTGATGGTCTCCAATAGGTGAGACTTAGGGCTGGTCTACACTATGGACCTTGATGTGTGAAAACGACACCCCCCTGAGCAACGTAAGTTACATCGACTTAAAGCGGTGTCCACGTTGGCGGGAGACGCTCTCCCACCCATGTAGCTTCCATGTAGCCTCTCACGGAGGTGGAGTTTGCCGACGGGAGAGCGCATCTTCAGCAGGAGCGGCACAGGTGCGCCAGTGTAGTGCGGTCGTGTAGACTTGCCCTTAGATACTTGTACCTATTACAAAAACCAAGATTTTTCACTCAGAAAAATGTGAAACAATGAAATGAAGCTTTAAAAATGAAAATAATTATCAGCTGTAGTTACAAAAGAGGAATGAAATTAAACAGAAATAAAACACCCAGAACAACTATAAAAGACTCTTCAAGCTACTTAATGGCTGTGGATCTGTTCTCTTTCTGTTGGGGGAGGAGGGCTAGTGACTGTGACCCCCTCCCCCACTCCCTTGGGAGTTAAGTTCAACGGGTTTGTCTAGTCAGGTTAGACTGCAGACTCTTCGAGGCAGGGACCATGTCTTTTTCCATATTTAATGTTCTTTGTAAACCACCATGTACACTGATGGCCTGGTATACAAATAAAGATACACATAGAATGTCTGCTCTAGAAGATTCCAACCAATCAAGATGCTCAACTTTCAATTAGTTCAACTTTTTCCCCAAAAGGTGGCATTAGCATGTATGGAAGTGGGTGGTCAAGACATTGAAGTAGGCTTGCCAACAGATAGCACCATGATGCAGTGAAAAAAGATAGGCCATCCCCTACATCAGGGCATTCTTGCTGTAATATTTGACAATATTTGGCCATGGTCAAATAATAGACAGTTAAATGACATTATCTGACTGATCAATTGACTGGCTTGTTGAGCCGATACCGTGTCCAGTTCTGGTGTCAACAATTCAAGAAGGATGTTGATAAAACTGGAGACGGTTCAGAGAAGAGCCATGACAATGATTAAGGGATTTGAAAACTTGCCTTGTAGTGATAGACTCAAGGAGCTCGACCTATTTTAACAAAGAGACTTGATCACAGCCTATAAGTACCTACATGGGGAACAAATATTTGGTAATGGGTTCTTCAGTCTAGCAGACAAAGCTATGACAAGAACCAATGGCTGGAAGTTGAAACTGGCCACATTCAGACTGGAAGAAGATGTACATTATTAATTGTGAGGGTAATTAACCATTGGAACAACTTGCCCAGGGTCGTGGTGGATTCTCCATCGATGGAGATTTTTAAACAAGTCTGGATGTTTTGTTGATTTGCTCTAGTTCAAAGAGGAATTAATTCAGCTAGTCTGACCTCCTGTATAACACAGGCCACCATCGGATTGTGCTGATCACCATGGTCCCTTCCATAGGTGCTGACTCCGTGGGTGATCTGGGGCTGCAGCACCCACGCGGAAAAATTGGTGGGCGCTTTGCACCTACCGGCAGCTCCCCGCCCCCCGCCCCAGCTCACCTCCGCCTCCTCCCCTGAGCGCGCCGCCGTGTCCTGCTTCTCCCCCCTCCCTCCCAGCGCTTGTGCCATGAAACAGCTGTTTTGCGCGGCAAGCCTGGGAGGGGGAACGCGGCGCGCTTGGGGGAGGAGGCGGGGCCAGGGCGGGGATTTGGGGAGGGGTCCAATAGGAGCAGGGAGGGGTGGAGTTGGGGCAGGGGTGGAGTCGGGGCGAGGCCGGGGGCGCAAACACTCACCGGCACAGAAAAAAGTTTGCCCCTGTGGTCCCTTCTGCCCTTGAGACCTGTCAGTTTGTCAGTCTTTGAACTCTTCGATCCATGTGGACCGTGTTCATTTTGTATCATTCTAGTTTTATAATCAATAGATTCAGATTTTGCTGCAGCCACCTGCTCTGCATATGAACCTTCCCATACTAACATGTCGCTTCCCGCCCCCACCATCCCCGGTCGGCACCACCTTCCTGCCTCAGCAGATCGAGCAGGGGCCCAGCTTGGAGCCGCTGAAGGACCAAGTGGCAGTGGAAGGCAGCAGTGCCTGCCTCCAGTGTCACATTGAAGGTAACTTCCTATGAAAGCCTGCAAGGCTGCCCACCCCCTCAATGACTGAAGTCCTTGGAATGACCTTGTCCCCTGGCAGGGTGCTCGCCCTCGGGCAGGCTCTGCAGGACCTAAATTGCTCTTGTGCAACAGGGGAAGCCTTGTGCATGAATGGGGGCTGCACATCTGTCAATACAATCTGTAGCCTGACAGCTGTGTGCTTTGAACTCTCACAAGCTAAGCAGCGTCGGTGCTTGGATGAGACTTTCTTGGGATACCTTGGTACTCTAGGCAAGGGGGCGTTGATGCACTAGGTGGTTATCTTGTACTGGATTAACACCTGGCATGGTGCTAGGCGCCGTGTTGCTGAATGTGTCTGTCCCCTGGTAGAGGACACAGCAGTGCAGCACTGGTTGCAGGGTGGTTAGGGACCTGAGAAGCTGTGATGTGACACGCCACTTGGGAGACCCAGTAGGGTCAGATAAACGTCCCAAAATTCTGGGTGGCTTGGTGGACCTTTGACCCATCGCTGTGGCCTTCTTCTCTGGCAGGTTTTCCCCACCTGGAGGTGACGTGGTTCTGGAACGATGCCCCTCTCCAGGAACGTCCTCGGCTCCCCATAGATGAGGAGGAGAATGGAAGCTGCTCCCTTGCCATTGCGAGGCTCTCGGTGGAGGACACGGGGCACTACGTGTGCAGGGCCACCAGTGCCGTAGGGGAGGCGGAATGCGGTGCCAGGCTGATGGTACAGAGAGGCAGCAACACGCAGACGCCAAATGCAGAGGAGGGCCCTGGAACTGACCAGCCGTGAGAGCCGCAGGCCATGGGCTCTCTGCCCGGCATTGGCGGCATGGCCTGCAGGAGGTGCTCTGCTTCCAGTCCGGCTCTTTCCCTCATCCATCGTTATTTTTAACTCCATCGCTGGGCTCCGGGAGTGAACCTTGCTGCGCTCTGCTTCCCACTGTGCCGGGACGTGGCAGGCAGCCACAGAGTGGGCAAGAAGGGCCCAATCCTGCAGGCCCCAAACAGGCAAATCCCCAGTCAATCCATTTCCCAGTGCAGGGAGTCTGTCCTGTGAGGATCGAGCCTAGGCCAGCCTCTCTGCTTCCACCTCCCCTCTGCCAGGCTGGGCCCTCGTGGCCCAGCTACAGGGCAGCACAGGGCGGGAGGGTGGATTTCCCTTAACTCTGCAACCTCTCTGAGCCAGGGGCAAGGCTGGTCCCGCTGCCCCACCGAACATGGGGCAAAGTACAAAGCCAAGGGGCAGGTTGCTCCCGCCCCCCAATGGTGGTAAACTCAGCTGTAAATCTCATTAAATCCCAATATCCTGGCTTCAGCCAGCGTATGTAGCGTGTGGGGTCACTCAAGTATCAAGTGTTTTGGTTAGAACGGCTCCAGCCTCCATGCCCACCCCTCCAGCTGGCCGAGGGCCTGACGGAACGAACACGCCTTTTGGCCCGTAGGGTACCAGCGATCACTTAGGCCGGTTTCCCTGCCCGCAGGTTCCAGCCACGTGTTCGGAGTTCAGCTTGGTACTGAAGTCTCCAGAGGTTGCTGCTTTGTTTTCTCTCTTACCTGCTTTTCAGCAGTCACCTGCCCGTCAGTAGAGACTCCAGCCACGGTGCCCCCTGTCTGACAGAGCCCAGAGGTAGCTGGGTTCTTGCAGGGTTAATGGCCTTTTTCAGAAGTGGGAGCTAAAGTGCCCACAGCACTCCAGCTTTACATCACGGGCCCTCCAGCCAGTGCGAGAGGCGAGGGGCTCGCCTAGCCGACG